CCTTTGGTCAAGGTGTCCTCCTGTGGTTACCACCCTCTTTTCCTGCCCTTGCCACAAACACAGCAGAATAAACTGCTGAGTTTGCAGAGACAAGCAGGAAGGCAGTGTTCTGCAGCAAGGCCTGTGATTGGCCAATTTAAACCACGCCCATTCCAGATAAAGACTGGCAAAGTGCCAGCTGACTGCAGCTGCTGAGGGTCCTGAGGAGGAGTTTTACTCACGTTGGTGCAGAGAGTGCTGTGTTAGGTGCACAAGTCTTTTCCTCCTACAGTTTCCATCTCTACTAATTATCTGAATTAGTAATTTAGTAGTTTGTTCATTCTAAACACACACACACATCCACACTCACACCTAAGGACAATTTAAAGTTGCTAATTGAACGATGCATATCTGTGGACTGGAGAACACAAGAGAATGCCCACACACGCACACAGATCCCAGTCTAAAGCAGGAGTGATTCTAGGATCTGATCTTTAGGGGTACTTAGCCCCCAGTTCTAACAATGGCTCTTGGCTTGAACAACACACCTCTTGTGAGAAGTGTAAAAGTTTACAGCACCTGGTCTTCAGGAGGTCTCTCATCCAGGTACTAACCAGGCCTGACCATGCTGAGCTTCAGAGATCAGCTGAGATCTGACGAGATCAGATGAGATCAGATGAGATCAGATGAGATAATCTGAGATCAGATTAGATCAGCTGAGATCAGATTAGATCAGCTGAGATCAGACGAGATCTGATTAGATCAGATGAGATCATCTGAGATGAGATTAGATCAGCTGAGATCAGACGAGATCAGATGAGATCGGGCGTGTTCAGGGTGGTGTGGTCGTAAACGGGGAGCTCAGTCACAAACAGGACTTTTAAAGGATCATAACAAACAAAGACTAAACTTATGCAACCACAAGTTGCAACAAATATCTACATATAAAACACACAAAGCACAACTAGTTTCAAGCATTACCCTTTAATTTAACCTTTAACCTCTGACAGCAAAGCGCTTGTAATGCAGACCAACGACAATATTGTCAGAGGAAAAGTGGGTGCTGCTCCTGCAGGTAAGGGGTGTTTCACTTTGGGACAAGTGGAGGTTGCCATTTGGTCACTTGCTGAGGAGCATTCTGGATTGATTGACAGGTGGCATTGAGGATCGAACTTGTGCAAATAAATCAGATTTTACTGGCCCTTTTAAGAATGTGATCATTTTTTTCCACATTTATTCCAACTTTATTAAATATCTTGGTGAATCTAAGTTTGAAAACTGAGCTTCCCACAAAATCTTAATGGTGGTTTCTTAAATTTTCAGAGGTGCTGAGTTAAAATTTAGGGGGTGCTTGAGCACCCCCCCAAAAGAGTCTAAAATCACCACTGCATTAGAGTCAAACCCAGACCGTTCTTACTGCAAGACAACAAGCGGCTACAGAGAAGCCCTTACATTTAACTCCAGTAAACCATACACCATAAACAGGTCAAGCTGTTGTAGAGCAGGTATCCATCTCAAGCGTTAGGAAAGCACCTTAGTTTTGGAAAACTTTTTGAAGGATTTCATGTAAGTGAAAGATGCATCATGCAAAGCCCATCGGGCCAATCAGATTCTGTCTCTATGACCTCATGTTTTCAAGCCTCACTGACCTCAGGGTACAAGAACATGTTGTTAACCTCATTGTTTTGTCCTCACAGGACCATGTTTACAGCTGAAGGATGTCACATGCTTCATGTTTCATTCTGTGCAACAGTTTGAGACCAAGCAACGCAGTCTGCTTCATCACCTGTGATGATGCTGAAGGCTCTGTCAGTCTCACAGCCAACACCGAAGGGGCACCACCGTAACATGCATGACACATGTCATCTTTGTTAGCTTTGACAGTTAAAGAGTTTTAATTTTTTCAAAGCTGGTTTGAAATGTCTCACTGGGCTTGAGGTGTTTTTAAACTCCAGGTACAAAATATCAGTTCAGGAAGAGTTTACCAACAGCTTTAAAACTTTAAATGGTTGTAAATGCAGCTGTCTGCATCATTACCAAATATCTCTGATGTCTTGCACACCACTACCCATCACCACCTCCTCCTCTCCACCCCAGCACCACGAGTAACTCAGCTTTTTTACGCTCTAGAACTTTCTCCACCAATCAATCAATCAATCAATCAATCAATCAATCAATCAATCAATCAATCAATCTATCTATCTATCTATCTATCTATCTATCTATCTATCTATATATCTATATATCTATCTATATATCTATCTATCTATCTATCTATCTATCTATCTATCTATCTATCTATCTATCTATCTATCTATCTATCTATCCATCCATCCATCCAT